CTGGCCTGGGCCGGGCTCAAACCCGCTAGCCTCAGAGCATGTGGCTGGCGCTGTAACAACTGTGCTATGGGCGCTGAGCCTTAAAAGCTTTTTAATAAGTAATAATGAGGGCGGTGCCTGGGGCTCAGTGAGTAGGGTGCCGGCCCCATATACCAAGGGTTCTGGCGGGTACCTATAGTCCCAGCTACTCAGGAAGCTGAGGCAAGAGAATTGCCTAAGCCCAGGAGTTGGAGGTTGCTGTGAGCTATGATGCCATGGCACTCTACCCAGGGGTGACAAAATGAGACTCTGTCTTCAAAAAATGAAAAGGAGTGGCGGGGGTAGAGAGGTAGAAGAGGTGAACAGGTTGCAATTTTAAATACGACAGTTAAGTTAAAACCTAGAGGTGTGATTTGAACAAAGACCTGAAGAAGGTTAAGAGAATTAGCCAAGTAGATATTGTAGGGAACAGCATTTCCAAGTATAGGGAACAACTACCAGATAAATATTAGCACAAGAGTGTGGCTCATGTGTGTGAGAAACAGCAAGCAGGCCAGTGCAGGGTTAACAGAAAGAGTGAGAAGGAAAGAGTAAGAGTGGTAACAGGGAAGCTCTATGGGCCACCATAAGGACACTGGCCTTACTTCTGAGTGAAAATAGTTGCTGTGTGGATCAAGTGAGATAGTTTGGGGGGTTTTTTAGAGACAGAGTCTCACTTTATCACCCTCGTTAAGAGTGCCAAGGCATCACACAGCTCACAGCAACCTCCAACTCCTGGGCGTAGGCGATTCTCTCACTTCAGCCTCCCGAGTAGCTGGGACTACAGGCACCTGCCACTACACCCGGCTATATTTTTGTTGCAGTGTGGCCAGGGCCAGGTTTGAACCTGCCACGCTCGGTATATGGGGCCAGTGCCCTACCCACTAAGCACAGGTGCTGCCCTCAAGTCAGGTAATTTAAGTGAAAAAACCTTCAAACTCTTATGAAGACATAATTTTAAAAAAAACACAGAATATAAAAAGTCATAGAATACAAAAAAATGATAGGAATTCTTGGAACCAAAAGTTATGTTTAATGCTTATAAGAAAGAACAGAACACTGAAAGCCAAATCAGCCCTCTGAGCAACCATTCGTATTGTATCCTCAGCTGTGTTCTCTGGAATTATTGTTTTACATCAAAGACAACAGACACCACTTGTTTTTAATCTTTTCCTCTAACACTTCAGTTTCCTCACCCAAATGAAACTTGGCTTATCCCTGAAGACACCACTTTGACACCAGTCATAAAGACCCGTCATTCTCCAAACATATCTTACGTGGAAAAAATTATGTATTATTTTTGCTCATATGCTATTTTCTCTCCCTGGAACTTAATCCTTCCAACTCATTCTCTATTCACATTCTAACTACCTTTGAGGTATTGCAAGGCAATCTGTATCATAAAGGCTTCCATGGTCCCTTACAACTGAATAGCACCTCTTCTTTAGAAACAGAACCACATATCACATGTACCTGTCCCACACTCCTCTCCAGTTGCTATTATACATTTTGCAGAAAAGTCTTCTATTTCTAAATAGATTCAAGTCGGATTCATTTTTCCATTCCTATGAAGTTTTTGTATCAGGTGATGCTCCTGAAATATTTACTGTGAACATGCACTCAATGAGCTTGAGGTGTTGAAACTATTTCTACTGTGCTGCTATACTTACATTTTTTACTCTGTTTTTCCACTTCTGCCTTCAGTCTCTTGTACTTGTCTGTCCTATAAACCAGGACCCAGGTTATACCTAGAACATTAAAAGCAGCATGGTAATAGAGAAAGGCTGGGAAAGATCACAAGAAACTATTAGTGCTGACTGCTAGACTAGGAGAAATCCAACCTTCTGCTTTGTATTTACCTGTAGTTGACTTTTTTCAAGTGTTAATACAACCGACTCTTAACCAAAAGAAGAGTAACATGACGTGAAGATGTCTCCACAAACAGGCAAGTGAAAAACTACCTTAGACCAATGAAAACTCGGCAACCAATTCCACACGACCCCCCCCCCACTTCTGTTCAAGAGTAGCCGAGAAATTTCCTGAAGTAGAGTAAACAAGCTCCCCAAGCAAACAAGGCATACTTTCCCCTGGGGCCGCGACAAGCCCAGCGACCCTAAACAAACGTCTGAGACAGCCGCTCTCACCCTCGGCAAGCAGAGCCGTGCACACGGAGATAAAAACGATGAGCAGGGTGTCCGCGAACATGGTGCTCATCTC